CGAATACCCTCGACCCCTTGGAGATATCGAACTGCAACAGGGTACTACCCAGTTACCGGTACAGATACTTGATCGCTGCAAACGACAACCCGATTTATTCCGAAGATAGCGCGTTTTCTACTCTGAATTGGATGGCGCCGCTGTCTTCGGAATCTCTTGCTCCTACGGGGGGAGCACTAGCTCCTTGTACCATTATGTGAGTGGCAGGGGTTGGATATGTTGCTTGCCGGATAGGTGAGGTTCTTACGTAAGGCTGGACACTCTATTATTGATGAAATGCTGAAGTTACTTGTGCCCTGAATTGCGAGCCGTCGCAACGCAACGTTGGCACGCGGACCCGGGACCTTACCGACCTTATTGTTGGTAGAATTGATCGCGCTGATGTTCGTGGGGCTCGATAGCTCGCTTACAGCCTTTGAGAATATGCTGCGCCGGTTTACTTCGCACTCATGTCGGGATCTCAGCTACGAGTTTTGGTCAAGCACCACATGGATGGGTTGGGCATCTAGTGGGGAGTGTTTTCCAGCGTATTGGTAATATGTATGGTACCATACACAGTTATTTAGCAGAGAGATGTGCCCAGACCGCCACACGTTGTATGCCACTGCAATCGATCACATGCGAAAAATGATTTCGCGATTTGTCAATCTTGGCCATCGTTCTTTTTTTTTAGGAGGGGGTCGTTTCTTGGAAGCCATTTGTGGTAGATCCCGCTTGTTTAAGAACCTCGCTCATCACGCTTGTAGTTTAGCCCTTGTGACAGGTCTCCGTGTACCTATCCCGGAGCTGACGTCCGCAACTGTTTTTGGGTCCAGGGAATTTGGGTATGGGGTCAATGGAACGCGACCGGAGATTGCATCGACGTTCCGTGCAAGGACGCCTTCGAGGACAATGCGTCGACGATCAATCCCACCGCGGTTGGGCAATGGGATTGCAGAGAAACTACTGCTGGCGACTTCGACATGACGGACAAAATTTCGACAGGCCTCTGCGGCTGCGACTCCGAAACCTCCGACACGCCGGTGTCTTCCTCCACCACCCTGCAGCCATCTACCGATATCGGCACGATCTCTACGCCAGGACCTACAATCTTGACCGCCACCGAGGTCCTACTGCGTTGTCTACCGAAGGCACGCCCTCTACGCCGGCGCCAGTTTCCATCACCCTGGAGCCTGCTCCCACTCCCACTCCCACTCCCGAACCCCGAATGCCCCCTACGCCGGCGCCTGTTTCGACCACCACCGCGGAGTCTACTGCATTGTCTACCGCACTTGACATGCCCTTTACGCCGGCGCCTGTTTCGACCACCACCGCGGGGCCTACTGCATTGTCTACTGCACCTGGCATGCCCTCTACGCCGGCGCCTGTTTCGACCACCACCGCGGAGCCTACTGCATTGTCTACCGCACTTGCCATACCCTCTACGCCGGCGCCTATTTCCACCACTACCACTCCGGAGCCTACCGCGTTGTCTACCGAGCCCGAAGGCACGCCCTCTCCCACGAGGACTATCGCCCCGTTCCCTTCTTCCGATGGGGGTAAGAGAGTTTGATATAGCCCGTTTCGTGCGGAGCGGGTAAATCGGCAGAGCTCGGCACCGCAGTCACTTGAACGTCCGCTGCGGTCGCACAGAAACTATTGGAATTGCACTTTGAGATGCCTCCCAGCGGCCGAAATGGTAACGCACGACCAAAAGTGTCTCATCTCTGCCTACATATCCACATACATGCCAATCTCGACTTGTAGCACCGATGGGAGTGGGTTCGTGCGGCCTCTCTTCCGGTTCACTGCAATCACCCCACAATGCAAAGGGCAACATGCCACAGACGCTCATTGACCTTTCTGTTGACTTAAGCCCGACACAATAGCCTCCCTCGCTTTGCCTTTTCCGCCGCTCGTTTCGTGTGTCCCTTACGACCATGACCGATTGTTCGGGGTCCACCAGTGCCGGTGGGTAATGTAGGCGGTACTGTGGCCGGGGCCGGGGCCGTGGCGATAGCAGCGATGGGGGCCTTCCTGTGGCCCCGACGATCCGCGAAGAAAAGGGACGACGTCTCAGCGCCCGCTAGAAGTGATCCCGACTCCGGGAAGACCGTTGAGAATGGCGGTGAGCGCGGACAAGGGCTGGGCGCTAGTTCGCTGCGATTGATCGTTGTTGCTGGCGGCAACCGAGGCAGCGGCTCACTTTCTGAGAAGAACTCTTCGCCGCCCCCGCCTGTGCATTCTACGAAACGGCGAGACGTCTCTCTGCCACCTCCGTTCCAACGCGCGAGGATAGCCCGAGAAGGCGAAATCGATGAGCGCAAACGCCCCGAGTCGACGTCGATTGCGCCAGCTGTCACGTTACCTCCCCCTCCTGTGTAGGTAGCATCTTCTGAACGACTTTGAGTAAGTCAGTATGGGGCGGCTCGAACTGCGACTCCAAGTGTGCGAAGTGCTTCCCTGGTATCGCATTTGAAGTCGAGCTCATTTTGGTGTAGTTCACTCCGAGGGGCGATCTTGTTCAGAAAATGCATCACCGCTGAGCAGTAGCGCATTTGTGTTCACGTTCTTTAATGTACAATAGAACTATGTCCTCTTCGCGAAAAACGATCACCGCCGAGAAGTAGCGCACTTGTATTCACGTTATTTAAGGTACAATCGAACAATGTCCTCTTCGCGAAAAACGGCGCCAAGATGTTGTCGATTTCCGCCCGCCGTTGTCCTTTCTGCCTCGTTGGCTTCTTGGTCCAGCTGGGCCTTTAGGTGCAAGTGGGACACGATGTTTCAAAGGTCAAGGAAGCGATGCACCGGCACAAGGTGAGCGCGAGAGGTGGAGACAAACGAACCGGTTTCGCAGTATGTAGTCGTTTTGTACGGCTGCGGGAGTGCGCCGCTGTTGCCGGTTGTCCACGGATTGCACCCACCACGGGCGGAGGCGGGCTCTCCTTATTTTCTAGCCCCCATTGGCACGAATGCGTCGTATTCGGGAAGGATTCATCCGTTCGAGCGTGATATGCTTCTCCGTGGCTCGACGTTTTCTGTTTTGCTATAAGGGGCCTATGGAGGAGGCCGTGTCGGATCCTCAGGCGGAAGCCCGTAGCGCGAGGCGGCAGCGCAGGACCGATCAACTTGAACTCCCCGAGGACCACGTGCTTATCACGGATGAAGTGCTCGGGAAAGGGGGATTCGGCGAGGTGTTCATCGCAGACTACAACGGGCGCCACGCCGCAGCGAAGGTTGGTCTGAGGCAGCTGCAGCAGCAGTTCGTCCCGCAAACGTAGCGAGTAAAGTTGTGAACGCCCGTACAACAAAAAAAACTTGGCGAAAAAAAGCTGATACAGCCTCGGAAAACTCACAATCTTCACCAATTATGAGCTTGGTGAAGAATCAGTACACAAAAAACCTACGTAGCGGCCATTCGTCTCATACCCCTCGTTACTGAAAACCCTAACGTAGGCCAAAACCAGAGGTTGTTGAGTGCGGGCGTTAAGTGTAATGTACCAACCCCCAACACTCATGTACATAAAATATTCTTTCAAGTCTCTGCGCTTCCGCTGCGCGCTCTACCTCTCCATTTCCTTGTCAATCCTGCTGCCGGGCGACACCCTTAGGTACAACATGTTGCGCATGGCTTTGACATACTTGGCCAGGACAATGTGTCAAGCAGAGGCGAGCCCGAAACGCAGCAGCTAAAGAAACAGCGCAAAGCGTTCTTGCACGAGCTGGACGCCATGATTCGCCTGAGGAGTTTCCACACCGTCAACGTCTACGGAGCAATCACCTCGCTGCCAAACCACCTGCTTCTAGTCATGGAGCTTCTCGCGGGTGGCGACCTCCGAAGCATATTGAAATGCGCTGAGCATCCGCTTCCCGAGGCGCAGTGTCGGCAGATCATGGGAGACATCTGTACGGGGATGGCCTTCTTGCACAGCAAGGCGACGGTGCACGGCGACCTCAAGTCCGCCAACATTGTCCTGGATGGGCGTGGAAGGGCAAAGGCATGTCCGGGGGATATTTTTGTGTGGAGCATCTCGCGCCGTTGCAAGAGTGTCGGTTGGTTTTCGAGAGGTTGTGAACTTTCCCCGTTTTGTCTATCGTCGCGTGGTTGTCTCTTTTTTTCACGGCTTGTTCGACCCCTGGTTGGAGCTCCAGGCTGCACAGAGTTGTGCGAAGGTGTACCGACATCGCGCCCTACAGGAGCTCCCGAAAAACTCGAAGCGTGGTCTTGCAACGGTGCCAGATGCGTTTGTGGGGAAAAAGATGGGGCAGGTGGTGGCACGCTAGGAGCGTGGGAGGCCGCATGAGGTTGTACAATCGCGTCGGCAGCAGCATCCACAACTTGATCTGCTGGCAGGAGAGTGAGTACTTGTTCCAACAGCATTTCAGTACGGGAAGCCGAAGTCGAGGCAGGTGATGCAGCATGGCGTGGTGACTCGACACGTTCGTCCAAAGGCAAGGAAGATGTGGGATGATCCATAACGACATGGGCTGGGGCATGGCTTTTCACAGCGGCTGAATGTTCACGAAGTTGCATGTTGGCAAGTGTGAACGCCAAAGAAGACAAGGTCGGTTGGCCTACATCGGCGGGCGGGCGTAGAACAAGCGGTGAAGAACAGAGAGAACCGTCTTCTGTCACATCCATATTTTCCCCCAACAATCCAGAGCCAAGAAAACCACCCCGATCATGCATGACTTGCCTGTTACCGTGGCCTGACTTCCGTCCCCCTTTTCCACCGCGACTGTTGTCAGTGCTGGTCGCCCTGCTGTTGCCCCCGCTCCGGTTCTGGCTCCGGNAGGTGATGCAGCATGGCGTGGTGACTCGACACGTTCGTCCAAAGGCAAGGAAGATGTGGGATGATCCATAACGACATGGGCTGGGGCATGGCTTTTCACAGCGGCTGAATGTTCACGAAGTTGCATGTTGGCAAGTGTGAACGCCAAAGAAGACAAGGTCGGTTGGCCTACATCGGCGGGCGGGCGTAGAACAAGCGGTGAAGAACAGAGAGAACCGTCTTCTGTCACATCCATATTTTCCCCCAACAATCCAGAGCCAAGAAAACCACCCCGATCATGCATGACTTGCCTGTTACCGTGGCCTGACTTCCGTCCCCCTTTTCCACCGCGACTGTTGTCAGTGCTGGTCGCCCTGCTGTTGCCCCCGCTCCGGTTCTGGCTCCGGCTGCGGCTACGCCTAGACGACGGCGTGTTTCTCCCACGACGGTCTCCGCTCCGGCTGCGCCCACGCCTAGACGAAGCATTGGTGCGCTGTTGACGTTCTGCGCTCCGACTCCTGCTCCGGCGGTGGCGGCCCGCCGGCGAAGACCTGGTAGGCTGGGTCCCCACGGCTTGCCCTCGCCCGCCATCTCCGGTGCCGCGCCCTCGCGAAGACTGAGTGGAGCGGCAGTGGTCGAATCTTGGTCACCCCAACGGTTCTTCCAGCTCTTAGACGCAGGAGCCGCCGACCGACTGTAGTCCTTGTCCACTCCACAACCATGTGCAGGGCGTGAAGAGGCCTGCCGGGGGGCTTGCAGATCGTGCTTGAAGTCGTTGTTGGAGGCAGCACGAGCAAGAGGCGGCTGGAGTCCTCCATCTTGGGTCCCCGGATGGCTTCCGTTGTTGCGCAAACGTGCCCGTGCTGCTGTCGTTGAAGGCCAAACCACCAACCGTGCCACGCTGGAATTTCTTGATGCTACCTTCCTACAGGTGGAAAATCTGCGCAAGGAACCGGCAGGGCCCTCGACCTACGCCTTCTTCACCCAGAAATTGGCGGCTGCCTGGGACACTCAAGACAAGAGCTCGGGGATTGATCGTCCTCGCAGTTTTGGCGTATCCAACGGCGAGACTTACGGAGAATACATTCGTCGCTATAAGGCTCTGGCCATGACCGTCATGGTTTCTCACCACGCGTTCAAGCCTTCGGATGCGCAAGTGCAGATAGCTGTTCGAGACTCCATGTGGAAGCAGTTTCCGGTAGTGTCTGGGCAGGTGTACAAGGATGAGCAGTTCTCCATTTCTCCATGGAAGCTCCTTTTTGGCGACATGCTTCGTGTCTGGATGATATGTGGGATGTGTTGGACAAGCGTGCGCTCGCGCACACGCCGGCGGTGCATGGAGATGATTTCTTTTCGGTATCGTCCACGAATGCTAGGANTCCATTTCTCCATGGAAGCTCCTTTTTGGCGACATGCTTCGTGTCTGGATGATATGTGGGATGTGTTGGACAAGCGTGCGCTCGCGCACACGCCGGCGGTGCATGGAGATGATTTCTTTTCGGTATCGTCCACGAATGCTAGGAGATCTTCTTCTGTTTCGCGTGCTGTAGCTTCTTCGGCGTTGCGCTCGACGGTGACCCCTTCGTGAAGCCAAGTCTCTTCGGTCACCGTGATGAGTGTTGACCCTCTACCTAATGATGATCGGGACCCTTTTCTGTTGCACTACAGTGACTGGCCGTTGCAAGGACACTTCCAAGAGGTGTACAACGTCGCTAGTGAGATGGCTCTAACCAAGAATGATCCACCATTGTTCACCCCTTTGGTCTCGGCTGAAGAACGCCGCAACGCGCTTCGACTGTACAAGGGTAAGTGCCTCAACTGCATAGGAGAAGACCACTGCTTCAAATCCTGCCGCTGACGCCATATGGGAAGGTGTACCGATTCGACGGATACCCTGCGAATCGGGTCCTCCTCAACAGTTGCCTCCTACCCGGTACAGTATATGTGTATGAACAAAACGTTTGACATGTGTGGTCGCAGCAGGCCCAAGAAATCACAAGTGTGAAAATCAACGATATTTTCGCCTTGTCTTGCATTTTGCCGCCATATTGGGGACTTTGGAACTACCAGATGGGCTCAGAACACGGAGAACTCGACAGGCCTGGCGACGTATGTAACGAAGGCGGGACAAGGCACCCACATCATCTTCGCATGGACTGCCCCAGAGGTGAGTTGACCGGTTTTCGTCTTGCGCTCCCGTTGTCTCTAGGTGCAGTAAGCGTGGAGGCGCTGGGGTGTGGGCGAAGTAAGCGAAAGATGGGTCGACTTTGCCAATGTAATCCCGAAAAGGGTTGTTCTTTGTGCACAACCTGCTCCACACCTAACGTTCGTACAGGAAATGTGAACAAGGCGGGTTGTGGAAAATCTCCGTGAAACGATGTACTGCCGCGTTGAGCGTCTACGCCCTCATTGGAAATTTTGTGCAGTCATCCTTAGTCCAATTCTGTGCGTGACACCTTCTGCAATGGTTGCTTGGATTGAAATTTGTAGCAGCCGGCAGCATCTCGGAAGGATATTATCTGGTGCAGTGGCGAAAGCCCTTTGGAAGATTCGAAGTGGGAAAGCAGCTTTTACCTAAGTATTATGAACGTGTTGTGCGTCAGCTCGCATCTTTGCCTAGTTTCCTTTACCTACGACTCTTTGGCGACGTCCGCGAAAGACTTGCTGTTCCTGACCTCTTTTCCTACGCCTCCCACGGTGCACGAGAAGGTGCTGGAGACCAAGGCAGCCTCCAACGCCAGTGACGCTGACAGCTTCGGGGTCGTAGTTTGGGAGATTCTCACGAGACAGATACCTTGGGCGGAACAAGCTCTACCCAGGGACATCTACCTCCGCGTCGTCATCCGCGGAGAGCGTCCCGCGATTCCCGCGGATTGCCCCGCAGATATCGTGGAGATGGTGCTCGGCAGCTGGGCCCAGGCGCCCGAGGAGCGCCGGACGTTCCAAGCTCTCATGGACGAAGGGATGATTTGGCCGGTGATGAAATAGCTGTTGATATATCTCCGAATGTTTTAAGGTTAAATGGCTACACACATCAGAGACTGCTTTGGTTTGGGCGGGGGCTTGCGTGAGCCTTTGGCGGGTTTCGTGCGCAGAAGGTGTGTAGAGAATTGTCATTGTGGTATTGGGTGAGATCCACTATTTGAATGCTGACCCCTCTCCGGGGACCGTAGCTTTCCTGCTGACACCGACATCTTTCAATGGACAGTCTGTTAGCGTCGTCGATCAGAATTAGTTAATATTGTACCTGGTACACCGTCAAAACGTGCACACGGGGGGGGG